AAGGACAGTCACGCAAGGCTGCTGCGATATTAAATAACAGAGCATCGACTGCATGATGGCTCGCACTCTCTCCCCCTCCCCCTCTCCCTCCCCGCGCATCTCAACATGTATGTGTGTACAGTTCCGGCGGCCAGATGGTGGTCGAAAGGCCTTGCCCATGTAAGCCCATCTCAGCCGTTCGGTGGAGCCGGTGGGACAGAATCTTGGAAGTTGTCTGGGGGTGGCAACAGCCGAAACCATTGTCAACTCGACCTGTCAACAGGCCGCACCAATCCATCATCTGTCCATGGCCCTCAGCAGCCCACGTCGCCACACACACTGGCCACCGCTTTGGGTTTAGGCTTTTTGGACGTTGGCTCGCGGGAAAACCATTAGTCTGGACGCCACATGAGGCCTGGGCAGTTGGCCAGATTGGGGCCATGGGTGAAGTGGCGATGGTGTTGCGGGCGGCAGTTGCATCGTCTTCCCTTGATCCAATCTTCAACGACACGGCGTATCCGCATCTAGAGACAACGAGGCGCCGGCGGATGGAAATGAATGTTCATGATGGAAGCCGCATTCGAAGGACTCCGAGTCGCGTGGGTGCGTTGCGAAAAGTCTGCCATTGGGCCCCGCGCTTCTCCCCAGACTGCCACCGTGCTAGTGGCTTTGTTGATCTCTCGTGGCTTGTGAGATGACAGGTTTCCTAGTGTCTCGGGACATGTTGCGCCGCAATTTCCCTCATCACACGGCGCAGACGCGGCAAATCAAAATGCTGTACCACCCAGCCATGTTTGCCATGCCCAAAGCCAACGAGGTGCGGCTCGGTATCATGGAGGAGAAAGTTCGGTTTCTGTCGACCTTTTTGCGTGGAATTGGTTTCTAGAACGCACCAAGTTCGGCCATGTCCGTGACAAGTGGTTCAAGGAGAGTTCAATGTTGGCTTGGATCGGGGACGAGCATCGGGGAGTTGGGACGTGGGCGCGGGCGCGGGCGCGGGCGCGGAAGACGAGGAGATGAGAAATGTGAGAATGAGGCAGGAGGGGGCTCCGTTGTACGGAGTACGACATGGTACTTGCATCGTGATGAAACAACCAGACCTTTCTGATGTCCTAAGCTGATTGGCGAGATGGGTCGTCCGAGCAGAGCAGAGCAGAGCAGAGCGACTCGAGTCGATTCAACGTTTCCGGCCGCCGACTCACGAGGCCCAACCGTAGTGTGACTTGCCCATGCTACTACAGAACACTCAACAAGGTCAAGGCTGTTGGTTCGGTTGGCGTGCTGCACCGCGCGACATTTATATGTTCTCCTCTGTGACTGTGAGTCTTGGACTGTTGGGTACGGAACCCGCAAAAGCAATCATGACGAGAAAGTGGAGCCGAGATTGCGAGCCATTGCGCTTCACCATTGAAGCACGCGACTTTGCCTCAGCCGCACCATGACTGGACGTCGAGAAACCATTCCATCGTCGACTCGGGACATTCTCCCTCACCACTGAGCGCCACTGCCGCCATGCGGACGTTTCTCTGCTCACATTCGCTGCTGCTTCTGGGCAGCAGCTTCATCGCCGTCGCCTCCGCATCTCGAGACGCATCCCGAGACTCGCAAGTCCGCCTCACGGGTCCAATTCGTCATCACCAAGTCGACCCCGTTATTCTCGATGCATTAAAGAAGCATTCCGATCCTGTCGATGCCCTCGTCTCGCTGCACCCAGAGGCAGCTGATCAGCTTGCCCAGCCTCGCTTGCTCCGCGTATCTGGTGAGCCGACGGCCAGATGGATGACCGAAGGCGACAAGTTGCGCCTCAAGCGCAAGGGCCACAAGTTTGTCGACATTACCGACCACGAGGACTTTTACAAACAGAATGTGAACGCATTGGCTGGAGAGGCTCGTAAGTTTTCAAATAACTGCGGTGCAGACCAATTGGGTGGGCATGTCACTCACGACTTTTTGAAGATTTGCCGAATCTCTCACATCAGCACATTGTAAAGCCTCTCCTCCCCCAAGTCTCGACAAAGAGGATGCACCATGTGCTGGAACACATGACTAGCTACTACACCAGATACTTTGGTAGTGTGACGGGCGAAGAGAGCGCCCAATGGCTTCATGATCACATCGCTGAGGTATGATATGCCTGTTTCCCAACAGGGACTGAAGTTGAAAACGTACTGACGCTTGCGCGTAGATAATCAAGGAATCCCCGTTCCACACCCACATCTCTCTCGAGGTTTTCACGCATTCTTTCCCTCAGCCATCCATCATTGCTCGTTTCGAGCCCAAAGTGCGAAACTTCTCGCTGCCGCTGACCATCCTTGGCGCACACCAAGACTCCATGAACTACCTGTTCCCTCTCCTGCCCGCGCCTGGTGCCGATGATGACTGTTCGGGGACTGTGAGCATACTGGAGGCTTTCCGCGTGCTGGCAACCAGCGGCTTCATCCCCATCAATGGACCCGTCGAGTTTCACTGGTACGCCGCTGAGGAGGGCGGTCTTTTAGGCAGTCAAGCTATTGCGCGATACAAGAAGGAGTCGGGGGCTCGCATCGGCGCCATGATGGAATTTGTGAGTATTTGCGTGCTTGGATGTACAATTCGGCCCACGACTTTTTCTCTAACGCACGGAAACTAGGACATGACGGCCTTTATTGCCAGAAATGCTACCGAATCCATTGGCTTCATTGAGACGGAAGCGGATGCTCCTCTGACCAAGTGGGCAGCCGACTTGGCCAACGAATATGTCTCGATTCCAGCCAAGGTGTATAAGCTCCCAAGGTGAGCCCAACTTCCCATCTTTTAGGCCCTCCCGCCCCAGCGACCCCAAGGCTGATGAACAAAAACAGCGGCGCGGGCTCCGACTACATGTCTTTTACGCAGCTCGGCTATCCGTCCGCTTTTGCCTCGGAGGGTAACCCGTCGGCTGGTGCATTTCCTGGCGAATTCGACCCTTATGTCCACACCGCCAAAGACACCATGGATGTTGATGACGACACGGGCATCTTCTCTCTCGAGGTAAGTGTATGCGAAGTTGTTGATGCGGTTCTCATGCTTACTGGTCACAGCACATGGCGCGATTTTCAGAGCTTGCCATTGCATTCGTTGTCGAGCAGGCAGGCTGGGACAACAAATGGAGGTGAAAACAGACTGTATACATGCACTTCATTTCATGGCTTGGACGAAATCCATTATCGACGGAACTGAAAATTCGTAGACATGACCGATAGATAATCTACCATTCTTGACATTTACCAGCTCGTTCCTCCCCCCACCACAAGATAGATACATTATACAATACCCTCCCACACGATAGCATCTTTCCATCAAATGGCCCCCAAGGAGCCCTGTGCTTCCTGTGCTTCCGACTACGCAGCCTAGGTCTGCTGCTTGTGAACCTCAGCCTTGGCACCGTGCTTTTGCTCGCTGGCCTTGTCGGAAACGGCGTCCTTTGCGGCGGAAGCTCTAGGGAACAGTTGGCAACTCTTCGTGCAGCAGAAAAGGGGAGGGGGGGCTATTTACCGCTCGCCGAGAGGTGCGTCAGAGTCCTTGGCAATGTCCTTGTTGACCTCCTTTGAAGTGCCGGTGGTGGCCTTCTTGGCCTGCTCAGAGACGTAGTTGGCGCCTTGCTTGAGTGATTCCATGATTTGTCTGTTTTTGAAATTGTATGCTTGTGAGATTGGGTTGATTTGCAGAAACGGCAGTGAGACGAGCGGCCGTGGGCTTATTTAAAGCAAGTTGCAACGTAGGGAAAACATCAAATGGATTTATGTCGCATGACGTTGTGGACAGCTTGACGTTGGCGGCGACGTGAGCCGGCGGATTTGCTCCGGTGGCGAAGAGGTTGCGAAATGATGACGCTGGCGGATTTTGGTGCTGTCATTATGATGCTGCCATTTTTGGTGGGCTGCGCCTTTTGAGTTTGCGCGACTGTTAAGAGCCATGTGCGATATTTGCGGCGTTGGATGATGGAAATGTTTCATTTGGTCATGATGGGATGGCGACCAGAATGGGCGCCGCGTCAGAGTTTGTGTTAAGGTTTCATTTTGACGAGCATGGCACCGAGTTGGCCTGATGTGTTGCGTGGACCTCTACTCCATTCAATGTTTGTCAACGGGTGAAATACAGGACATCTACAACCAAGAGGTATATGCGGTTCAGCTATAACAGGCACTAGTGGAATTCTCTTTTGTTTGTGTGGTCAAACGGTGATGCCATTCTTGTACAGAGAAATGATAGGCTTCCTTTTGCGTCCGAATTTCCTAATTGTTGATACAGGACGTTCCAGCTAAAGAACCTATATTGTTGCTGGGCTTGGTCTATTGAATGCAACGTACTTGTATAAATCATGGGGCTAATGGCAGGACATGTGCAAACCAACCAGCCCGGCATAACGCTGCCACAATATTACACGGAAATGGTCCAACAAAGGGGCCTCACCGACAAAGGACCTCGAGGTTACACAGACTGAACACATGACCACGCAGGAGTCTTGGGCACAGACGTTTTTTTCATGTATATATAGTGGTTGCTGATCCCTCCCTTTCTCTTGGAAAACCAAGGACCTTGACACCCGTCGAGATTATCTTGAATTTGAGTCTTTTGCTCCAAGCATTGTATATTGAACTCTTGTCACTATATTTTTTCAGCATACTTGTCATCTTTCCTTGAGGCGTTTTACTAGAGCGCACAACTTGCGTTTCCACCTATGGGCTCATTATTGTAACTGGTCATATTCTTGCTCTGCTTGTCAAAGGGCCTTTTATGATTGATAGACAGGGGCCATGAAGTTACTCTTTCATCACCCCCCTTTATGGTATTTTGAACAGGGCCAATGGGGCACATGTCCCAAATTGTTATGACTATGGTTGAGCTCTTTTCATGGTATTCCGATGGACAAATTCGCCCAACACTTTATTGCTCATGTGTGTACACTAGACACTTTTGCCTCAAAGAGCATCTATCCGCGGGAAAATTTGACACACTCGAGGCATCAGAGCACACATGGAGCATGAAATGAGTCCAACACACTAGCAAATACAATCCACGCCGGACAAACAGAAAGGGTCTATGTCCCCTCCACTACAACACGAGGGCATCGACTTTCTGCTGCGAGCCGCCCGCGGTTCCCAAGAAAAACCCGTCCCAACACGAACTGGCTGGTAGTAATATCTGAAGCCAAGAATCGACGAAACCGCCCCAATGATGAACCCGGACATGATGTCCAGCCCATGATGCTGAAAGTCGTACCAACGCGTCGCACAGATGTAAATCGCCGCGCCGAGTGGCATCAGAGAAATCGCCAGCAGATACAAGGGCGCAGCTGCATCTTGTCCCCCTTTGGAATTCGCCAAGCCATTCTCCACGTCATCTGTTCCTCCGTGTACACTGTCGCCATAGGGCTGGTCCAGGTCGTATGTTTGTGTCCCACGCTCGGACTTGTCGACCTCACCCGCCGTCCCGCCCATGAGGAAAGGCGATCCTACGCCTAGCCTCGCGGCCAGCCATAACGAAAGGTAGACCAGCCCGGAGGCCACTGCGGAGGAATGCCCGGACGGAAAGCTGCGAAACCCCTCGTCGACGACGGATTTATCCGTGTTCGTGCAGATGGCTGCTGTAACAAGCTGACTACCTGCGTCGGTCGCATTGCTTACGACAAAGTTGGCTACGTTGGCAACATCAGGCTGGCATCTGCCGAGGAGATTGGGCCGCGGCTTGCCCAGCAGGTTCTTGGTCCCGTTGGTGAGGACGAATGCCAAAACGGCCGAAAGCAAAAGACCAAGAAGGCCGGCATGGAACTTCCACATCTCATGTCGCCGGGGGTGCCTCCGGGGGCTTTTCTTGTCGGAAGCTTTCAAAGCCACCAGCGAAGCCAGGGCGAAACAGAGCATGAGAACGGCGGGAACGACGACGGAGACGGCAGCGGCCGCGCCTAGAGACACCGTGTCGTGACCTTTGTAAGGGAGACTGATGTCTGGATTGTGGAGGCTGAAGGGCCGCTTGTTGGGTGGGAATTTGCCTGCGATGAATCCCGCCACGGCGAGACCGATGAGGATAGCCCAGTCGACCGTGTAGGAGAAGACGGTGCCAGAGGATGGCATGGTGGGAATGGCAGGCGGATGGTGAGCGTAAAACAATGCCGAGAGTAAGTTTAGTGACCTGGAGTGGGAAAGGGTAGAACGAGGAGGAAGGCGACAAGGCGCCTGAAACAATACATATATGCACATTATCGACAAAGCGGCTGTTGTTGAAAGAGGTGCTTTTGCCCTTGTTTACACTGAAGAATGGAATATGACACAGGCACGGCATGTGAAAATACAAAGGTCGAAGCAACAAACGGGCAGACAAACACAGACATTCATCAAATTCAAAGGCACCTGGCGAGTCCAAGGATCGTGATATTGTGAAATTAGTATAATCGCAGATATGCCTCGCCACGGATATGATGCCAATGTATTTAAGCAGACGCCAGCCACGGACTCGGAAAGCGTAAATACACGGCGCCAGAACGTCGAGTTGATTGTCTACGTGTTGCTCTGCATACGTGCGCGATATTCATGAGCCAACAGGCTTGATGGCAAGGAGGAGCCGCCTCGCTCTCGGCACAGCATTTTGCGGAAGGAGGGAGGTTGCAAGCTTCAAGGACATTTTCCGGACCAAGGTGCATCACATACGCATTGATGGCCCCAAGACGTCATGTATAGCTTATACAAAGATCAGGACGACTCTTCTTAGAGAGACGGCGAGGCTAGGTAGCGGAACTCGTGTCGGGCCAACTTTACGACACCATCACGGCCGCCCATGAAGTAGGTGATCAGTCAAGTCTGGTGCAATGGTTGGCGGTTCTTGGCAACGAATACCATGCAAGGCCTTTTAGGATTCAAGCGCACGTCACCGCGGTTGTGCGGCCGCTACGGGCCGTCCAGTAGAAAGGGAGGTTATTTCCGTTGCCGGACTCCGTGTCGAGCCAAAGCGTCCAATATTAACATGACCACGCACCAACATCGAGACATGGAGGCCCTTTCAGACCATGCAAGTGTCCGGTACCAGCTGACGTCTCCCCTCGCTTCTAATCGTGTTAATTGCGCATGTGCATGTCACCCCGCCGGTCAGTCGTCGAGGCTCGCGCAATGTAGGTTTCACGTTCGAGGGAATGGGAAGCCCAAGACAACCGTCAGGCTAGGTCCTGAGGGCCTGAGCTTGGCCTCATGGTGCTTCTTGTAACCGTTGTTGGCCCAACAACCTTTGTTGGTAGCTTCGACGGTGTCTTTGAAGTCAATTGAGCCTGCGACCAACCAGCCTCATTGTCTCCCCGAGTTGACGGGAGGCTACAATGATCCGTATGTAGAGAAATTAGTCCCATGTCACCATGCAAGTTCTTTCCTTCGAGCGCTTTCTAGCTTCAGAATCTTTCCATCCGTGGCGGGTTTTGAGTTTGCCAATAAGCAATGCTGATTCTCATCGCCATCCGTTACTCCGTACTCCGTCCTTGAATGCTGGTCATCCAACAAAAACAAAGCCTGAGCTTTGCGGTTGGGTGACGCCTGGTGACTGCTGGACCGTGTCGATGCATGTTGGTTGTTTGCAGGCTGTACGCTCAGAGCCATGCCGCTCACATCCCGCATACGTACATACGGAGTACCTGTCAATATGATGTCTCACTTGGGGGCGCAGCTGTTGCATTGCTGTTATCGGACTCGACCACGCTGAGAGATGATTGGGAAAAAAGCATGCGGCAATATTGAGACGACTGTTGAAACCACTGTCTTTCAACCAACACCATGGCGACTGTGATGACTACACCCGCAATCTTCCCATCGTTGAACTAGGCTGTGCAGATCGGAAGCTTTTAGAAAAGCCAAATATCTCAAGACACTACACCTATTACGTACTATGTCATACAACACGTTCTAGGGCGTGTCGATGTAAAACAAGTCTTCTATTCTAAACAAGGGCAGTGGTGATGTTGCGTCTATAGACCAGTCTGGAGAGCAAGCAAGTGGTGTAAGAACATCGATGCTATCTAACCGTGTCGAGGAGGTACGTTGATGACCCTGCTGTAGTTGCGGGGATACCATATTGTTACACCGTAGGTTCGTCTCGCTCTCGGAATCGTTTCTCGGCATCTTCTTGGTGTTCCCGCACTCTATCTCCGCCTTTCGCTTCCTTACTATCAGTGAGTCTAAACTTTCTAGAGTGGTGCTCGGAAGCCAGAAAAGATTTTGGTGATAGCCAAGTAGAATCTTGGCGGTTTGATTTGCCCCATACTCTCTGGCAGCCTTGGACAGCCCTACCTCGTACAATTGCTTAATGTATTGTTGCTTGCCAGATCCGAAAAGGCCATTTGACCCGAAGCTGCCCGGTTATTAGCACGGACAGGCAATTTATACCGAGTGACGCAGACATGGACCAACAAAAAAAGAAGGGAAAGGAAAAGAGCGAAGAGCGAAGGCAGCACCTGGGGATCGTACATGGAGTCATCAATACTGCAGACAAATAGTGGTCCGTAGATGCCAGGGCTATCGAAGGAAGCGGCGTGCAAAGTATCGCCCGCGCCGCCAACACTGGGACTAGGGAGAGGACTCTGTATGTTATGGGATTCGATTTCATGTAGTCGGCTGCAAAATAGAACCCAGTCACGGCCACGTCGAACCAGGGCGGCGTACTTTTTACTGTCCTCGGAGGGCGCTTGAAGGCCGATTGCAATGAGGAAGTCGGCCATTTGCTTGGCGGAGATTCTTTCCCGCGCCCTGGGAACGATACGTAAGAAGAGCTCGTAGGCAGAAACGGCAACAAATCTTTGTAGAACGCGTAGTTCCGTGATCTGGGAATCCAGCTGAACGGCACTCTGGAGGAATAGCTGTGCCCGGCGTGGCTTGTCCTTATGGATATAATGGATGTAGTTTGTGGAGCTCGTGGATGGTGTCTCCCAGAACGACTCGGGGTTTTGGCGCCAGTGTTGAAAATGACTTGAAAGGTCTTCAAGGTCCTTGGATGGTGAAGTGGCCGTCGTCCTGTACACGCGGCGTTTGGGAGGCGAACCATACACTACATGAAGCTGTTGGTATATCTGGCGTAGCCAGTCAGGGTTTCCGCCTTGACCGAAGGGTTCATCGGGCGGAAGTGTCTTGGTAGTTTGCGCAACGGCTCCGTTTGTCAGAACTAGGGACATGGTGTGATAGAATAGGGGTACGTGAGAAAATGGACGGAAAGATGAGAGCGATGATGGTCAGTCACAACATAGCCAGTCTGACATCCAGCCAGCAATGCAGGAGGACAGGTCTAACCGCGAGCACGGGCAGCCAAATGCTGCTTTTGTAGGCAAGTGCAGCAAATTACATTGGCTGTGCTTGTTATACTAACCCAAAAAGCGGATGAAGAACGTAGAGAAGGTCTTAATTTGGTGTATAGGAATGGTCTTTGATAAATCATGGCCGCATTGAGAAGCCTTTAGCGACGCAATACCATCTCGCGCCTTGGTGTTGGTGATTCTTAAAAAGGAGTGGTGAGAACTCAAGAACTTGTCCCGGACTCGGACGACCTATTCTTTCATAGAGCAACCCAAGGGGCCCAAAGCACACGCACACATACACCGCACATTCCATCCTTCTTCCAAAAGCCAAAACGGATCAACATGAGCTCTTCACGATATCCAGGAGATGCGAGAAAGAGGAAGGACAAGGACAAGGAAAAGGAAAAGGAACAGGAAAGGGACGGGAAAGTGAACAAACGCACGCATGTATTTCACACTAAGGAAGGCAAGGGAACTCCTGAAGAAGCAACTGTAGGCACACATATTTCCCATACCATGTAACCCTCCCCCCAAAAAGGACATTAACTAGGAAGTATGTTTAGGTCCACTGGATCACGCGACGTGCAAAAGAGAACGGTCCGGCCTATGAAGAGATTGTTAAGAGCATAGCTTCAAAAACTAAAACTGGAGTTTGGCATATCAGGCATGTTGGCTTAACAGCACATTTTATAGGAAAGAAATATAGGCTAATAAAAATATAAAGGGCAACAGCGCATGCCACAACATCACTTGGCGGTGCTAAAGTGAACGATGATGTACATTTCACAGTTTTCACGGATTATAAGACAGGAAACGCCTCGGGCCATTATGACTTCGCGGGTCATGTCTATGTGGTAATGGATGACGATTATCCTGAGTATCCCGTACGTCTGCTTCATCCTAGCGAATTCGAATTGAGGCGAGAGCCTGAGGAGATAGCATCTGCTATTCTATGGAATCAAAAGACGAAAGAAAGCTCTCTCTATAACATGGACGACAAATACTACGAGTATTTCTGTGGGGGCGAGGAGCAAGAGGAGGAGACAGAATACCATGAGGAAGAAACATCAGGATATAGCCAGCAGTACGGCTCCGAACATGGTCCAGAGGGGCAGGCTGCGACTTCTTCGGCAGCAACTGCCGCCGCTGGAGATGCGTCTGCAGATCCTCAAGACAAGAAGAGAAGAAAGAGGAGTAAGAGTAAGAGAAGGCCCAAGGGAAAGGAAACAGAACGCGGCGAGTAATGTAGGGCATCGTGTGTAGTTACTCATGTCAAGTCGGTCATGTATGCTTTCCATGAATGAGTCAAAGAGTCCGGAAGCAGAGAGTTATAGTCCTAAACAACAACTGCAATGCGCAACTAGAGACATGGAAATACTTGGGTAGTTACGACAAGCCCGGGTCATAGTTCTTGACACCTAGATTGAGAATGAAATTATGCAACTTTTCATCCCATCGCCGTCGACAGACTTGGTCCCCGAACTGGAAACTATCTATAGGGCCAAATATACCATGTATTTATGGCTTAACATGGGATGATTACAGTTTCTTTCCACAACACAGCCGCATCAACTGTCGCATATCTGCCAGCGTAGATTGATCCTCGTTGACAGTATCTCTTCGCTGCCGGTCGACCCAGGCCTTTGCTATTGCTGAGAGTGTCACACAAGCACTGTCGCTTGCACAACTGCAGGACTATCAGGCACAGGTGCCAGGATGTCCTGTGAACTGGCCCCTGGGTAACGAGAGACGTAGCATCCTCGTAAGGCAGGCAGCAGTTTACTCTAGATGCCGAGTCCCAAGCAATAGTTCACTGTGCTTGAGGGAATGAGCAACTTGATCTGCATGTGAGCAAGAAGCACAAAGAAACGTCAGATGTTGGCCAGACTCACGTGATTGGAGCCTTGGTCTGTGAGCCTGTGACGGTCAACTAGTATTTAAACAGCACAAAAATCGCCAGCCTTGATGCAACTTGCCGCCTCACTGCACTTTTTAGATCACACCTGGTACTCATCACTAGAGCGCAGCTCCCTTTTGTTTGACTTCGAAGCCCAAATGCCTCCGCAGGTTGGCGAACGCCCAAAGCCTGTTGCGGGTTCACCAATAAGACGGTATCCCCAACATCCCTCGCGTCTATGGAAACGGCTATATTATGATGGGTGGCAAGACGATCATTTTCTCTTCGAGAAACTCGTTTACTATCAACCGAACGGCCTTCACCCCATCGATCTTGGAGACGAGCTGCACGACCACCGATTCCGCGTCATTCATAAGCTGGGCTATGGGGGATCATCAACTGTATGGCTCTGCCGTGACCAAAGTAAAGACAGACCAGTCTACGTGGCAGTCAAGATCTTCCACGCGGGGTTCGCGGAAACGGAGTGCCGCGAACTACTCATGTTTAAAGTTAAAGACGAAGGCACTGATGATCAGGAACATTACCTATGTCTCCCCAAGGAGCGATTTATTAGCGAAAGCCCCAACGGAACGCATCTCTGCCTAGTCTTCCCAGTACTCGGGCCTACAGTGGACCAGGCCGCCTCAATCTTTGAAGAGGAGCAAAATAGTAGTAGTATTCTGCGCACAATATCTCGCAGCATCATTGAAGCTTTGGCTATTCTACACCGTCGGGGCATCTGCCATGCAGGTATGTTCTGTGGGTATGCTCCCATTGCTTTCCAGCTTATTGACTCTTGGCCAGATTTTCGCCCGGCAAATATTCTTCTAGGGCTGCAGAGCCTCGACGGCCTGCCGGAAGAACAAGTACTTGCGCAGCTTGGCGAGCCAGAGGAAGAAATCATCCACATCCGAGAGGATTCTCTGCCGACTCCAGACATTCCGTACGCGCCCAAGTACCTTGTTTACCCTGTTGACTTTCACGATACCAGCCCATCGTTTATCCTGCCGCGGGCCGTGGTTATCGACTTTGGTCAGGCTGTCGAAGCCGCGGCGGAGAAGGCACCGCCCGGCATACCGGCCAACTACGCAGCACCAGAGGTGATTCTGCAAGGTTCTGGCGGCCAAGAAATGGATCTATGGTCTCTGGCTTGTACCCTGTACGAAGTCCGAGTCGGTCAACAGTTATTCGATGTACCTCAGCTGATTGGAGTCGATGAGCGAGACTACGAAGAGGAGATTTCCACTGTCTTGGGGAAGCCCGGACATGGTAGGTCTGACCGGGAAGTGGCACGCGAGATCGGCAAGAGGGCATTTGGCGATGACATGACGCTGGAAAAGGAGCAGTGGGCGGAGATGCTGGCGGGCTTACTGAGGTACGAGCCGGATGAAAGGCTCAAGGCGCAGGACCTGCTGAACAACGCATGGTTTGGGCGTGACTCCTAACCAAGCTGAAGAAAGTGCCGGTGGTCGGGTAACATTGAATCTGATTTTCCAAGACTCAGGTACACATGCATCCCGTCCTTACCGCTGCTGAGGTTCACATGACGATGAGCTTCAACCATCATCGAACCTCGTCCAATCCATCCACGCCACCACCATCCCAACTGCGATATCCATCAGTATCATCCCGGAACGACCGCTAGATAGCTGATTGCCAGGGCCGCGCTTTTGTAGTCAATTACGGACACGGGGTTTACCCCAGCCCCCTACTACGCGTTACAATCGCCTCACCACAGCTGCTCCCTTACGCCAGTATGACCTGACTGATATGGTCGTCTACTGCACATCATGGAACGATCAAGGCCTCAGGCTTTTCAATCATCTTATGCGCCTCGCCTGCGCGCTTACAACAATGGCTGGCAGCTCGACGTTGGGCCCCTTGGACGCCAGACCAACACAGCAATGAGGAAAAAGGTCATCCTGACAGAACGCGAAGGTAAAGTGTTCACATTGACTTTATTCTACTCAGATTTTAGTCAGCATGGGTCAGATCATCGGGTAGATCCAAGTATTACCCCTTTGGAATTTAGAGTTTGAGTAAAAACAGGGTTCATCCGATGCTAGTCCCGATCGTCGTGACCTTAAGGCTGCTGCAGATCAGAATGTAAGTGTCTTGGATTATTTGTCACTGGCTGTAACTGCCTCTTCTTGCTTTGTTTCCGACTCTCTCGATACTGCAGTCAGTCAGTTTGTTGAGCCAGGGAATCAGTACTTCCTTTGAAAGCACGCAACGACATGGCTGTCGGGCGCAAGAACAGCACGGCAGAGTGAAATAGTCAATTTCAATACCACCACCCGGATTTATCGACTGTAGACGGCCGGAGCAACTGGACGCAAGCATGTTCAGACGAGGCTGTCGCCACATAGAGCATAAGAAGCCAGGCCAAGTCGTTGAATAATGAGATGGCAGACTTCAAGTTGATGAATCTAACTAGTAATCCGTTGCGAATCACGCAACGGATTAACAGGTTCCTGGGTATGGCGACAAGATGAGGCCCAACACTTTCGCATGTGTAATCAAGGCAAATTGACAGCATTTGACCGGATCAAGTACCCAACTATGACGCTTCATGTCATCATGTGTTATAACATAGGCGTATACTTGGTGGTGGGCAAATGTTTCCTGCTAGACTTTAAAATGACCCGGGACCAAGGAGTACCAGATCCTCCGTGTCTTCAAAGAGCGCATCGATTCATGCATCAAATCGCGCAGAAGCTCGCCTCAGCTTCGTTAATCGTCAACACTCCCTAGTGCGTAATGGGCGGATACAACGCCGCGCAACCCATTTGCATGAGGACGGCTGAATCATGAATATGGCATCTAAGAAGGCACTTTTGCTGAATCAACAAGGAGTTTTCACTTGTACAGGTCCTTAATTGACTCTGCGCATTATCCATATCCGCGCGGTATGTCGCCCGAATCCGCATGATGCCCAGTTTTGCTTATCTTATGGACAATGGGTAGCTTTATTACAGGGTTG